GTGGTTCAAGAGGAAGCCGGAATCTTACACCGCATCCTCCTGTGTTGCACAGAGGAGAGGAGGAGTCTTTGGGGTGTTCGGGGGGCCCATACACCCTATCCCTGCCCCCAAAGTGGTGCTTGATATCTGAACCCCAGATTTTGCAGCTAGCCCCGTTCCAAACCCCAGACTCCTCTTGGATCCAGCCCCCCCCATCCCCAAATAAAACCCCAGCCCTGAATTCTGCGTGGGTCTGGCTGAAATTCTCCAGGCTGATATAACACTGCTGCCTTTCTCCCCTGCTGCAGGCAAGGGGAACAGCACGCTCGATGGGCCGGTGGAAACGTCAGAGGAGCACACATTTGGGGTGAGCCTCGGGAAGGCAGATTTTTTTGGGGGGAGGGACAGAGGGCCCCCAGAATATGCCTGCCTTTCTCTGCTGCTGCGTGAAGACTGGGCACACAGAACCTTAGGGTCTGTTCCGCCTTTCTGGAAGGAGCTCACTGCACTCGGAAAACATGAACCAAGTAAATCCACCCCCCTCCCGTGATGCAAGTCGGTATTGTCACCCCCACGTCATAGGTGGGGAAACTGAGGCACAGGGCACCAAAGTAACTCACCCAAGTGCACCCAGCAGGGTGGAGGCAGAGCTGAGGATCTTGACTCCCAGCCCTCTCCTTTTGCCTCTAGATCCCTCTCTCCCTGTCCTTCCCAGAGCTAGGAACAGAACCCAGGCATTCGGCGGCTGGGACCTGCACTGTGATCCCTAGACAATATTGGTTCCCCTGTCGTGCCATGTTATGGTGTCAATGGCCAGGCTGTATTTCCCCCCGCTTAAAAAGGAGGCAGTATTTCTAGTGCTGAGAACAGTGGGGACTGGATGATCTTACGCAAGTCACGTGGTGTCCCCCCCATGCCTCAGTTTCCCCCTCTGAGAAATGGGGATTGTAACACTGTCCTGACGTGCAGGTGGCTTTTGAGGCTTCAAGGGCTCTGGGGGGCCCCAACTGCTGGGGCCTTGGCTCATGCCACATGGCATGTTCTGCGCCCTGCTGGTGCGATGGACCATAATGACTTTGCGGTTGAGAAGAGCCAAGACCAAATCCCCGAGGTGGATGAAGGACCCATCAATGGCAGAGGGGCCTTTATCTCTGTGATGGGCCAGATCCTGCCTCTCTATCCCAGCCCTCAGGCACTGGGAGTCTGGATCTGACCCCAAGCCCAGATCCCCCTCCAGCCCCGTGAACCAAGTCGCATTTCCTCCCTCTCTCCAGGTCTCCGTGGCTGTGGCCCTGGCTGTTGTCGCCTGCCTCTTCCTCTCCGTCATGCTGATCGTGCTGAACAAATGCGGACGGCATTCCAAGTTCGGCATTAACCGTAAGTCTCTGTGTTCCTGAAGCGGCAGGTAAGCCGACACTGAAACCTTCAGCCCTGGAAATACAGGCCTCTGATGCCTGAGCTGAAGAAGTAACTCCACCAGTGGTAGCAGTAGTAGGCTGGTATCCCCGGAGTGTAATTCCTCCCAGGCATGGAGAATGTTGGATTCTCAGACTAAATGACCGTGCCCAGTTGGCATCTTGCTTCAGAGGATGGCCAAAAGTCCCACAATGAACCTGGCCAGCTGTGCAGTGCTCCAAATGTGAGCTTCTGCCCTATAGTCTAGGCCAGTGTTTCCCAATTTTATTTGACCACGGAATCCTTTTCAGTTTAAAAGAATGTCAAGGAACCCCAGAGTTGGTTGACCAAAAAAAAAAAGACTCTGTCTCTTTAAGAGGGATCAGGGGAGTGCCAGCTCCTCGCAGAACCCTTACTTTCATTTCACAGAACCCCAGGTTTCCGTGGAGCACCAATTGGGAAACACTGCTACAGGCCAGGGCCATCCTTAGGATGTATGGGGTCCTCGGCAGCACTATTAAAATGGTGCCCCTGTGCCTGATGGCAGCCGGGGGGTAGACGATGATTTTTTAGAGCTGTGATTTTATAATCTCGAGCAACACACGAATGAAATATTTGTAAAGCACATTTTAAACTCAGATGCTGTCGACTCACACAATATATTCAGACGCTTCAGGGGGTAGCTGAGTTAGTCTGTATGGGTATGTCTACACTATGCCTAATTCAAACTAAGACTGCAAATGTAGGCATTCGGAATTGCAAATCAAGCCCGGGATTTAAATATCCCGCGCTTGATTTGCATGTTCCCGGCCGGTAGCCATTTTTGAAACTTACAAGCCCGAACTAACTGCCCGCATCTACATGCGGCAGGGAAACAGGCATTCAAAATAAAGCCTTATTCCGAACTACCTGTTGTTCCTCCTGCAATCCCGGGCTTGATTTGCAATTCCGAATGCCTACCTTTGCAGCCTTAGTCCGAATTAGGCTGCAAGTGTAGACATACCCTCCAGGATAAACTTCAAAAACCAACAGTCTGGTAGCACTTTATAGACTAACAAAACATGTAGATGGGATCACGAGCTTTCGTGGGCACAGTCCACTTCTTCAGATGACTGGAGTGTACGATGTCCAGGACCAAAATAAATAGGGGAGAAGGGAGGGGTGGAAGAAGGAAAAAATAGGAGGGAGGGGAACAAGAAGTGGCAGTGGGTAAAAAATATCAAGAGGAAAGTCGAGCTGGAATGTAATAGGAAAAACAAATAGTTTCTAAGTACCTAAATGCTGGATACATTTCTTTTAAAATTAAATTTTTAAATTAATGGAGATTGCCTATCTCCTAGAACTGGAAGGGACCTTGAAAGGTCACTGAGTCCAGTCCCCTGCCTTCTCAGCAGGACCAAGTACCATCCCTGACGAATTTTTGCCCCAATCCCTAAATGGCCTCCGCAAGGATTGAACTCACAACCCTGGATTTAGCAGGCCAATGTTCAAACCATTGAGCCAAGAGGCAGAGAAGAACTGTTAATTAGCAAACAACACATGGTCAGGTAGCACTTAAAGACTGACAAAACATGTAGATGGTCTCATGAGATTCTACAGAGACAAAGAACCATTGTCGCCTTCATTGTTCGGTAGGTTGATAATGACCCAGCCATCCAGTATCTTCATTAGTCCACGAGTGGGAGAGTGGAACTTGTGAATGAGCTGTAGTTCCAGAACTTCCCTGTGTATTTGGCTTGTGGAATTGGTTTGTAACAAAACAGCTGCTTGAAGATCTGTTAATGAACGCCCAGGGAGATTAAAGTGTTCTCCAACAGGTTTCTGTATGTTCCCTTTACGGATATCTGATTTGTGTCCATTAATTCTCTCCCGTAGGGACTGTCCTGTTCGTCCTATATATATTGCAGTGGGGCATTGCTGGCATTTGATGGCGTAGATTAAATTACTAGATGTGCAGTATATTCAGAACCTGACAGTACGTTCCTGGGGTTGGCAAACCAAACCCCGGGTGAGATGGCTTTGTTACCATGCGAATGGCAATTTCCCAGGTGCAAGGTTGTGCTGATAGGTCTGTCAGGCATTGTCCCTTTTCAATTAATAGATCCTCAGGGTGAGACAGGAAGAGGCGGGAGGGTGGACATTAGGACCCAGCGGTGCCCCAGATTTTCAGGTGCCCTACGCAGCTGCATATTCTGCATTTGGGCAAGGATAGCTCTGCTCTAGATTTCTTCCTGCAGGCCCCTGATGCAGCTAAGGCCCCACAGCCCAGATTGGATCCCACTTGTCCTCATGTAACTTGGGCCCATTCCTCATCTGGGGTAACCAAGAGTGACCCCAGGAGAATCCCGTCCCCACTAGGTGTTGCAACAGTGCCAACTGTTCTAGCCCGTGCCCAGAACCCTGCCGAGCATCGCCTTCCCAGGGCAGGGATAAATCCCCCGGCAGGGGCTAACAAGGGGTCAGACGCTGCACTGGAGTGACCCTCACTTTGCAGAGGGCTTGGGGACCCTGGAGAGTGGTCGGCTGGGAGGAGTCTCCCCTTCCCCTGTGCTGGAGGCCGCTGGGTCCCTGCAGCTGCAATCCCTGGGCATTGATGGGCACCGGGTTGGAACAAGAATCTTAGCACCCCTGTGCCTTGTGGGCGTGGAGGTGTCAGATCTCCTGGGGAGCAGGAAGCTGGGGACACCCCCTCGGTGATTACTGCAACGCTACCTGCTCTGTGGCCTCCCAGCGGGGCTGCGGGGGGTAGATAGACCAGGGGAGGAGGGCTGCTAGAGCCTGACATTTCTCCCCTTCCTGGTCCCATGCAGGGGCGGCCGTGCTGGCTCAGGACGACGACCTGGCCATGTCCCTGCACTTCATGAACCTGGGCAGCAGCCCCCAGTCCTCCGCCGAGAGCAAGCTGGAGGGGCTGAAAACTAACTTCATTGAGAACCCGCAGTACTTCTGCGACACCTGTAAGGGCCGTGGGAGGGCAGGACAGGTCCGGGGGTGGGGGGGGGGAGGGGACAGGGTGGGTTTTGGAGGTTTAGGGGGAGTCGAGTGGGCTCGGGGCGTAAGGGGGCAGGCCAGTCCTGGGGTGTTAAGAGGGAGGAGCATGCATCTCAGGGGGAGGGGGAGCAGAGGGGTCCCAGGATGGAGGGGCATGCGTACTTGGGGTGGGTGCAAGCGGGTATAGTGCTGTGGGACTCTGTGGAACTCCCTGCTTCGTGTGCGGGGCCCATTCTAGCAGGGGAAAGGTGCACACACGCCCAGCGTGGGCTGGGTCCTTGGTGGCCGTGGGTCAGGGTGTTGGGGAAAAGCAAAGGAAGAGGGCGGGGGAATTGTAGGGGTTCAGAGCTGGCCCCTCCCACCTGTGTCCCTGGGCCCCTCCCACCTGCGTCCCTGGGCCCTTCCAGGTTTCCTAACCAGACCTCTCACTCCTCTCCCCGGAAGAGCCCAGGCCCCAGATCCTTCTGGCTTCTCTCCTCCTCCTCCTGACCTCAGCCCCCTTCTCCAAATTCAACTTTCGCCCCCCGCTGGCCTGCCCTGCCTCCCTGGCCCTCCTTCCCATCACGATCGCCCTCCCGCGAGAGCCAGATGCTCCCCACCCTGCTCCCCACCGGTGACGCTGCCGGGTGCCTTGCTCAGTTCTAGCTCCTTGCAGGCGTCCACCACATCAAACGCAGAGACATCGTGCTGAAGTGGGAGCTGGGCGAAGGCGCCTTTGGGAAGGTCTTCCTGGCCGAGTGCTACAACCTCATCCCCGAACAGGAGAAGATGCTGGTGGCTGTTAAGGTAACCCGCTGCCCTCCTCTGGGGGGATCCTGGGACCAGCTGTCACCGTGCTGCAAGCTGCAGCCATTCCCAACAGGCAGGGTGGGACTAGAACCCTAACGCATCAAAGCTATGGGTGAATCCCCATTTGCTGCCAGCAGTATAGACCACATGACACACTTTCTCAGGAGTGCTAATTCCATCCAGTAGGGGGCCCCGGTGAGTGTATAGACACACACCAGTGTATTGAATGGCGACCCAATCTAGACTCCTTCAGAGGTCAGATCTAAACTCCTGCCTATGTTTCTAGCTCTGGGTTAGACCCAAATGGGCCCCGGTTTATTCCCAGTTGTGATGGGCACATGGCCCCACATGGATGGTGATCAGCTGTCAGCCCGTTACAGGGATTAAGCTAGAGGCAACGGCTGAAATCAGGGTCCTGTTGTGCCAGGCACCTTTGAGACGCCCGGGGAGAGAAAGTCCCTGCTCCGAAGCATCTGCCATCTGTCTAGGAGGGTGTCACATGTGGGGCCCAGAAAGCTGAAATGACTTATCCGGGCTCCGCCACAGCAGAAGCAGGAAGGCCGGGACCCCAGTCCCTGTGCTTGGCCCGCCCTGCCCTCAGCCTGCCCCCTCTGGGTCCGTCTCCCTCCCTGCAGGCCCTGAAGGAGGCGACGGAGAGCGCCCGGCTGGATTTCCAGCGGGAAGCGGAGCTGCTGACGGTGCTGCAGCACGAGCACATCGTCAAGTTCTACGGGGTGTGCACGGAGGGCGAGCCCCTCGTCATGGTCTTCGAGTACATGAAACACGGCGACCTCAACCGTTTCCTCAGGTGGGCTCCGGGCAGGGGACAGGAGGTGGCACAGGCCACCTGGGGGAAGGGGGCTTCTGCCCCCGTGGGTGGGAGAACAGCCGCCGGAGCTGCTCCCACGTACCCCCATCCCACAGCTCTGAAGAGCCGCTCCCCTCCCCACCCCCTCTGGCCCAGTCTCCGC